ATGAAGATGCATGTCAAACTCAAAAACAACTTGCATAAAGATTAAATGTTGCTCACCAAACAATTTCTGATCGTTTACAAGCAATGGGAAAGATTTTAAAGAAAGGAAAATGGGTGTCACATCAACTGAATCAAAGACAAATGGAAAACTACAAAGTCATCAGTAAAATGTTGCTTCAACAGCACAAAAGAAAGTCTTTTGTGCATTGAATTGTGACTGGCCATGAAAAGTGGATTTACGAATTCCAAATGCACAAAAAAATGGGTTGATCCAGGTCAACCATCAATATCAACTGCAAGGACAAATAGCTTCAGAAAGAAGACAATGCTCTGCATTTGGTGGGATTAGGAAGGTGTGGTGTATTATGACCTTCTAAAACCAGGTGAAACCCTTAATACCGATCTCTACAGACAACAAATAATCAATTTGAACCATGCTTTGATCGTGAAATGACCAGAATGTGCCAGAAGACACAGCAAAGTAATTTTGCTTCATGATGATGCACCATCACACACTTCAAAACCAGTAGAAGACATGTTAAAAGATCTTGCCTGGAAAGTATTAACCCACCTCCTGTATTCAGCAGACCTTGCTCCTTCAGATTACCACTTGTTCTGATCGATGGCAGACACAGGCACTTTCTGAGCAGCACTTCAAAACATATGAAGAAGTGGAAAATTGGGTCTCTGAATGGTTTGCCTCAAAACAAGAAAAGTTCCATTGGGAAGGTATCCAAATTACCTGAACAATGGGGAAAATGTGTAGCTAGCGATGGATATTACTTTGCATAAAGCACTTTTAATGTTTCTCTTGAAATTATTGTGTTTTCTTTGATTATAAAATCCACATTATTAACCAATATACCTAGTATCCTATCTAATAAAAGAATAATATGCAAATTGACCATATCTCTGCTAAACCCACAAGCTACACCTATAAGCCAATCAGGAGCAAATATGCAAGATGGCTGAGGCAACAGCAAGCAGAAGGGAGGCTTGGGTTTCCTTGGCAATGGAGGAAGCCAAGCTTTCCACTGCCCTTGTCGGCCCAGGCTTCTGCTTAAGACTACAAAGTTTCAATTGTAAAAGATAAATAAATCCCAGATACCAGAGCCTCTGCTTGGGTCCCCAGGGGGCATGGCTGGCCCGAAAAACACTACAGGCCACTCATCCAGGCTGCCCCATGCCCCAAGGGCACACCCACCTTGATCTGGGACACCCTTCAGGGCAAACCGGCCAGGCCCACCCATGTACCAAGCCTTTATCCTATCTAATAAAAGAGTAATATGCAGATTGACAATCACTCCAGCACACAAGATGGCTGCCCCATGTGGTCAAAGATCCTGCCCCCATGTAGACACAAGATGGCCACCACAAGATGGCCTGCAGGAAAGGGAAGTTGGGAGGGACCAGGCCTGCAGGGGAGGGCAGTTAGGGGTGACCAGGTCTGCAGGGGAGGGCAGTTAGGGGCAAATAGGCTGGTAGGGAAGCAGTTAGCATCAATCAGGCTGGCAGGGGAGTGGTTAAGGGGTGATCAGGCTTGCAGGCAGAAGTGGTTAGGGGCAATCAGGAAGGCAGGCAGGCAAGCAGTTGGGAGCCAGCAGTCCTGGACTGTGAGAGGGATGTCTGACTGCCCGTTTAGGCCTGATCCAGTGGGGTCCCAGATTAGAGAGGGTGTAGGCTGGGCTGAGGGACACCCTCCCCACCCCCGTACATGAATTTTGTGCACAGGGCCTCTAGTAGACACATAATTATAGAAATACTAGAGGTCCAATGCACAAAATTCATGCAAGAGTAGACCTTCCTTTCCCCAGCTGCCAGCACCAGGTTCCCTCTGGCACTCAGGACCCCGGCTTCCCTCTGACTCTGGCTTCATCTGGAAGGACGTTCAGTCTAATTAGCATATTACTTTTTGTTATTATAGATTATTATAGATGCTACACATGCTTGTTACATGTCTATACAAACATGTACTCTCTAATAAAAGCAATTAAAGAAAAGGGAGCAGTCCCCAAGATGACCAGGATATCTGGCTAAGTCTTAAGCAATGACAATCTCTGGTCTTACATGGCAACAATATGCCCACAAAGTGGTCAGCTCCATTTGACTATTTTCTGGCCCCTTTCATTCAGGGTTTCCAGTGAAACAAATTTCTCCTTCCTGTTCATGGGTCAAGCCATGCCATTGTGGGTGCTTTGACCTCTGAGCAACCGTGTTCTAATCGACCAGTGGGTGGTGGTGGTGCTTAAATTACATATAATATAGATACATTATATAATACTAGAGGCCTGGTGCATAAAATTTGTGGGGGGGGGGGGAGTGTCCCTCAACCCAGCCCACACCCTCTCCAATCTTGGACCCCTCGAGGGTTGTCCGACTGTCCACTCCCAATCCAGGACTGCTGGCTCCCAACTGCTTGCCTGCCTGCTTTCCTGATTGCCCCTAACTGTTTCTGTCTGCCAGCCTGATCACCCCCTAACCACTCCTATGCCAGCCTGATTAATGCCTAACTGGTCCCTGCCAGCCTGTTTGCCTCTAACTGCACTCCCCTGCAGGCCTGAGTCCCTCCCAACTGCCCTTCCCTGTAGGCCTGGTTGCCCCCAACTTCCCCTCCTCTTCCAACTTGGTCACTGCTAACTGCCCTCCTCCTGCAGGGTTGGTCACCCCCAACTGTCCTCCCTTGCAGGACTGGTTCCTCCCAACTGCCCTCCCCTGCCCACAAGATGGCCTCCACAAGATGGCCAGCAGGGGAGAACAGTTGGATGGGACCAGGCCTGCAAGAGAGGGCAGTTTGGGGCCATCAGGCAAGCAGGGGAAGGCAGTTGGGAGGCACCAGGCCTGCAAGGGAGGGCAGTTGGGGGTGATCAGGCAAGCAGGGAAGGGCAGTTGGGAGGCACCAGGCAAGCAGGGGAGAGCAATTAAGCTGGAATGGGAGTGGTTAGAGGGTGATCAGGCTGGCAGACAGAAGCGGTTAGGGGCAATCAGGCAGGCAAGCAGTTGGGAGTCAGCAGTACTGGATTGTGAGAGGGATGCCCACTAGGATCAGGCCTAAACGGGCAGTCAGACATCCCTTGAGGGGTCCCAGATTGGAGAGGGTGCAGGCTGGGCTGAGAATAACCCCCTACCCCCCACCCTGTACACAAATTTTGTGCACTGGGCCTCTAGTTTATATATTAATTTCTTTTAAGACTATATTGTCTTAATGGTCTAAAGTGGTGATAATGTAATAATTAAACCATGTTTTCTGAGGGACAGTTAAGTGATTCCTCATCCAAATGTGGCTGCCCATTTCATGACTTGGGGTGTCCCCTGCAGGTATGAGCAGAGCACAGTGCATGTGCAGACCAGCCCAGCCTGGCCTTCCATAGCCACACTTTCCCCATGATTTGTGCAAGGCCTGGTGAAGTGTTCTGGAGCCACAGGTCATCAGCTTGTTTGGACAAGACTGCCTCATGGAGCAGAGTCTCACTGCTGTGATGACCCATAACAATGCCTACTTCTAGTATGGCTCACTTAGCCAGTTTTAATCTACAAAGTCCTTTGTGATTTGGGTCCCCACAATGTTCAATATTACCTCTCCTGCTCTACTTCTCAATGCCAGTTGAGATAAAGAACCTGCCAGTTTGGGCATTTGCAATGGATCGGCCTCCTGGTCAGTGAGAAAATTAACAAATCTGTCCATCTTGCTTTTCTACTTTCCACACCTTGCATGCATATAAGAACCAACGATATGTTATTAGTTGGCTTGCTATCCATCTCTTATTAGAATCCTGAGGTGATAGAATTTGGATCTCGGGACCAGATGAGGACTGCTGTGACAAGTAACTAACTGTTGCCAGGCACTCCACAAGAAGGTATTTTTGACAGGATTTAGCAAAGCTTGCCTTTTGGGTAGGGACCATGTCAACATTTATGCAGAAGACATACCTAGGATCTACATATCATCAAAGCATCATACAATTATTACCAAATGTCCACCTGAAAGATTTAGCAAAACCTTATTTCATAATTTGAGAAATATAAAACAGGTTAATATTGGAAGTGAACTAGAATTTGGACATTTATTTGGGCTCACTGTACACAATCAAAACATTTGGTTTGCTGAAATGATACAAAACGAGGAAAGGGCAATAATAGAAATAGTTTTCTGCCTTTTGTTTTAAATTTAGTTCTAATGTATTGGTTCTTTCAATTCAGAATTTCCCAGGCTTCTTTTGGCAGCCTGGGCCTTCCATGGGACTCACCAGAAGGTTCCCTTGACAATGCTAACGTTGTGGGTTCAATCCCCAGACGGAGCACATACAAGAATTAACTAAGGAATGCATGAATAAGTAAAAAAATAGATTGATATCTGTCTGTCTGTCTCTCCCCATTCCTCTCCCTCTCTAAAAACCAATTTAAAATATGTTTTAAAAGAAGGTCCCTTTTCCAATTTTCACTAAATATGAAAAAAATATCCCAAATCTGCTAATATACAGGGTGTCCCCCCAAAATGTATACATACTTAAATAGCTGACAGCTCAACTTTAAAAATGAACAATGTTTTAATAATCACTTTTTAAAAAATATTTTATTGATTTTTGTACAGAGAGGAAGGGAGAGAGATAGAGTTAGAAACATCGATGAGAGTCATCGACCAGCTGCCTCTTGCACACCCCCTACTGGGGATATGCCCGCAACCAAGGTATATGCCCTTGAGCGGAATCGAACCCGGGACCTTTCAGTCCCCAAGCCGATGCTCTATCCATTGAGCCAAACTGGTTTCGCCTTAATAAACTCTTTTTAATTTAATGTTTTAATTAACAAATTTTAAAAAATCGTTAGTTTTCTCACTGACCAGGAGGCTGATCCTTTGCAAATGCCCAAAATGCAGGTTCTTTATCTCAACTGGCCTGTATAATTATCCAAAGTGTGTGTATACATTTTTTGGAATACCCTATACATAAAAAAAATAACTCCAGGTAGGAGAGTTTCCACAAGAATACTACAGACACCACAAACAACAGGAAGAAATATGCCTTTTATTTTAAGTTTCATATGTACAGAGAAAGTTCTTTCTCAAGCTTAGGGCGGGCTGTGAGAAAGAGCCCTGTCATTCAAGGTCACTGTGTTTACCTTGGTAAAACCACTGAACATCACTGCACATCATGAACAAATAGAACATTACAGAAATGCAAAAGAGACATAGGTACGTATATGGGCACTTCACACACATTTTCTAAAAACAAGTGGACACAAAATACAATGTGCCAGTAAAAAAAAATAGACATATCAGTACATGTCTCTTTTTTTTGTTTTTCCTTTTTCATTAACACATGGATGTGGAGCTTTCATCTCAAGCTTTTCACATCGGGATTTGCAGGCACTTTAGCAACTCAGCCATGGTTTACAATACATGATGTTGAGACAAAAAGATGAAAATGTGAAAGCAGATGAAGTCCAGTGATCCACATGTACGTGAAAATATTGGCATGAGAAGCACTTTTGTCACCACTGTTTGCAGACACCAGAATATTCTCCTTGTGAAGTGTGACAGGTTTTCCCTAATTTGTCTTTTTTTTTTCATAGCAGAATTATTTAGTAACATGGATGGCATCACCAAGCAGACATATAGCATGTGGATGCATTAGACATATGTCAATTCCTATCGACTTGGGAATGGTAAAAAGCAGATGAGTTTTTAGAATCTCCAAATGAATGACCTATCTTTGTCCCACTCTATGCCCTTCCTGCCAACCTGTCAATCAAAAACTAATTAAAATAATTACTTGGATATAATGGACCAGAAGCTCATCCTGGGAGAATTGTTTCCTTAGCTACCACCTCCCACATCATGATATGCATAGGACAATGGGCAGCCCAGACCCCGCCAGAGGTCCCTCCAGCCTTCCCTACATAGTGTGGTGACTCAACACATGTGTTAGGAACACAACTAAATAAGAGCATTCATAATCTCAGAATAGATGATCACTTTATTGGTAATGTTTAGTTATAAAGCAGTTACAAAAGAAGCCCCATGAAAACCCGACAGTGATGGAATATGGCTTAACGTCTTAATAACATGAAGGAACTTTCCTGTTATGAAGAGCAGAGAATGAAAAGGGAAAACCATACCAATTATAAATGACTGTGCTATGAGGTACTGTAAAGCCCCAATTTCTGGAGTATGTCACCCACTTTCATCCACCAGAAACTGAGACTTGCCTCACATCTCAGAAAATTTAAAGGGAATGAAAAGAAAACAACATTACCTCAGCTTCAAGGTAATTTGTCACTACTAGTTGTACGGGGCTGTGACACAAATCCATGAACATCTCTTGAGTCAGGCCAAGAATTCCTGGTCCTCCTGAGAGATGCTGTGACAAATGCTTCAGGCAGATGATTGTCAGACAGTAGGGAATCCTTCCATGAAATACACTTGAGACATACTGGCAAAGACATTAAGGCCTTCCATTTCTTTGCTCATACTTCTTAAAGGCACTGATACCAACAACAGAAATATTCCATAGTACCAAGGAGGTTTTTAAAAAAACTCCCCAGATACAAGTCTCCATAGGAAAATGTCCTTTATTGCATGAATGAAGCATCCGCTCTTCTGCTCAGGAATAGAAGGGTCTCCCTTTTTCAGGAGTCTGGAGTCTGCTCAGCCTAGCGACCTGAGATGGGGATGGGGGCACATCCTGCCGGAAGGGCCCCTTAGGGGGAGTATAACTGGGGTCCTGGACTTTCTTATATGAGTCATAGCTGTTGAGTCCCTCGGGAGCAGGCTGTTTCTTCATCTGCTGCTCTTTCCGCCTCTGTTCCTGGCGAAGGAGCTCCTGGGTCTCCAGCATCACCCTGGCATTGAAGCCATGCCCGCCCAGGTAGCCGTTTCTGGAGCCTTGGTAGCTGGAGTACCTGAGGCTTTCCTTGGCACTCTGGAAGCCATCCCCAGGCGAGTAGTTCTGCTCCCAGGAATCCTGGGAGAGAGAGCTGGCATTTTTCCTGCTTTGCCTAGAAAGCAAAGTCAAAGGTCAGTGTGAGATTGGGAGAAGGAGAGAAATAAAAGGAGGAGGGGAGGAGTAAGGGGTCATATGCATTTCAGTATTTCAACAAATAGTTCTGTGCTCCAAGCACTGTGATGGGGGCTAGAGGAAGAAAATGTGACTGTCAGCAAGCTCAAATCTCAGACAAGTGAACAAACAAGGGCTCAACAGGAGAGAGAACTAACCGGCAGCTATTCAGAAATAGGGCCTGCCTTCCATGTCTGGGAGGTACTGTCTATTCTACTTAGGGAACATATATCTCCTGCAATTCAGACACATTGGCAAATGCTTTAGAGGAGGATTAGAGATTTGGCAGCATCTACTCTAGCAATAATTGCTTGCTTCAGAACATTACAATTCGATTTTAAACAAGCAAAACAAATATTTTACACAACTGCCACCATGGAGCCAGAGATGCTGGCTAATAGGAAGTACATGTAATGGATTACAATGCGAGTCCAGCTATGAGAGATTTAAGTCCCAACTCCTTTATGATTAAAAATGCAACAGGCAGTCCCTTACAGACCTGGCTTTTGAGTTGTATATGTCAGCAATGGACACTCCTCAGATCACATGCTCATCAAGACTATAGACCTGGAAGTCTGCAGAGTGAGCACTGCTTTTCTCTGCACTGTGCCCTCACCGAAGGCCAGGACAGCTTACTAAACTCACATTTGGCACCACAGGACAGGGGAATAAATCAGTCACACAGAACTTTCAAATTATCATCATTTGTGCAATAAAGTTACGCATCATTTTCAGGAAACATTATTGTTTTGAAATATCTTTAATTTATTATCAATTCTCTAGGTGCTTTTATGAATTCACAATAAGATTGGATATGATAAAGTAAAACAAATTTTTGTTAGAAAGGAAGACAAGCCCTAATATTTAGCTTTAAAGATGGGAAAGAGAATCCAGTAATAAAACAAAATCTATTGCTCCATATATCAGTAAGAGAACCATTTGGTGACAGTATATATTACTCAGCCTTTTGCATCAAAACACATGATGGAATGTTCAAAAGGGCCCTTGCAGAGGAAAAACAGGGTCGATGCAGTCACTGGATCTCCCACAGGGATGAAGCAATTTGCATTTTGAACATTCAAAAGCGCCATCAATAGGGCTTTGGATCAAATCTGCCTATTTTTCATATGGCCTAAAATGTAGGGATATTTTCAATAAGGAAATGAGCAGGTCACAGAGAAACATAAGAGTGCAGCAGACAATAAGAGTTTCCAACACTAGGAAACCCATCACCTGGGTACTAGGCACAATGGGAGAGTGGGGAAATGAAACCATCCCCACATGCCACGATATTTTGAGTTTAATTTAAAAAATCAATTTGCAATGAATATTATAAAAATAAATATATTACTCAAAATTTGGGTGTTCTTGAATATTTTCAGTTGAAAATTCTCACAAAAATTGATTTTAAAGCATCTATAGATGCTTATGACATTCAAGGGGTTAATAGGAATCAGACCATTTGTACAATCAGCCCAAGCAAGACTCCTTATATTTGGTGGAATAGTTTATTTGCCCAAAGCACTGATTATCTTCACTTAAAAAGTCATACATTAATCTGCAGAGACAGGAATGATGGAAAGAGCCAGCATGAAACCAGGGGTTTGACATTAATCATGAAATTTTAATTAAAACAACAAACTTGGTACTGAGGTTACAGTAACAAAAGTGGGACTCCTTCATAAGCTGGTTATCAATCTAAAGATAATCAGATATAGGCGGCAGACCTTTCACCGCTTTCTCATACTTGTCCTACTGAGACCCATGAACCCTCTTCAGCCTCACTCCCAACTCTGGAAAGCCTGAGGATGCGCTCTGTGGAGGTCATGTCCCATTCCAGAAACACACTGAGAACTCACTGAAGGTTTGTTAGGAATAGAAATTCTGACGATGTGGAAGAATTTCTTTTAGCTAAAATTTTTTTTCAAACTAATTGTATAGAGAGAAGGAAACAGACCTCCCTGAGTTTAAAGTAAGGTATGGAGAGAAAGTACATACATGTAGAAACATATACATACACACACACACACATACACACACATGCTTCCTTGGTAAGAAAGCTAGAGGTACCCACAATTCTTAATTAAGACACAGGAAATGAGCAGGTCACAGAGAAACATAAGAGTGCAGCAGACAATAAGAGTTTCCAACACTAGGAAACCCATCACCTGGGTACTAGGCACAATGGGAGAGTGGCTTTGGATTATATAGACATAGATTCACATGTAGAGTCTGCCATTTGCCAGTTGGGGGATGCTGGGAGAGTTATGCTCTCTGGGTCCAAATTTCCTCATCTGTGAAATAGGAATAATAGCTAACCTCATAGGGTTATGAGGCAGAAATGAACAAAATAACATATGCAAAATGTTTAGAAAGGTATGGCCCCAAGTAAATGGCTGACTAATAGGAGTTGGAGGAGTAGTTTGAAGGCAATGTCACTTTGTCTTCAAAGAGTAGGCTCTGGGTTTTGGGAAGCATCTTTCTAACCAATGAAGAAAAATATTAGCTTTCTTTTCCTTTGCCAGAGAAATTGGGTAGAAACAAGGAGGAGAGAAAGGTACTAGAGAATAACTGAAGAATCCTCACTAAGTGAGGACAAGCCCACACAATTCCACAGAGATAAGAAGGAAGCTTTCTAATGTCCCATGATTGCCCAAATGCCACATTAACAACAGCAGTAAGAAAACATCAATGTCCATCAATGTGAATTTCTTTATACCCAACATGCAGGCTTGTTTGGTCTTGGAATGAGCCCACTCAAGATTTCTGAATCCGCTGAAAGCACACACACCTGGTTTGTCAATGATTACAATTATCTTTAAAGTGGTCTGAAGGCCATCATCATGTGGAGGACTCACCTTGTGGAAAGCTAGTTAGCCACCGAAGTGACGAGGATGCAGAAGGATGATGAAAGATATAAAAACCAAGGCTAACAAGTTGACAAGCAGCTCAGAGACATAACAAATGGGCGTGGTGGGGAGACTACGTCAGGGTGTGAAGACATAGTGGAGAAGTGAGACGTACAAAGCAGAGAAGTAAGACACCAACAGATGTGAAACCAAGGGAGAGGGAAAGATGAAGAAGAAATGGGGAGACAGCAGGAAAATTTTAAAAAATTAATAAAGAATCTTAAGTTTTTCTGTTGATGACTATGAACATTCTCTGTTTGAGATTTGCCTTTTGGATACTAAATAAAGGAACTAATTTAAGACTAAAAATATATTTTAACAAAGAAAGTAAAAATGAAAACTGATTTAGGAATTTAAAAAAATTAAAAAAATAATCTTAGTTTGATTGAGAATTGAGTTTGGGGCCACTCAGGACCCCTTTCCTACAGAACCAGTTTTACCACCTGGCTAATGTTTCCTACTGACATTTCAAAATGAAACTTGAATTCTGCCAATCGGCTTCTTTAATTACAGTTAGAATTTCAAACTACTCTGGCTCATATACATCCCTCTAATTCAAACCACCTTATCTACTGTGACTGAGACAAAGTCTTGACCATTTGTTTTACTTTATGTTCCACTTGGCAGCTGAACTATTTTTGTGTGTGTGTAAAAACTTTTTTGGTATCAAATGCCATACCAACTTGTTTAGATAAAACCCTGCTAATTGTCAACATCCGAAAAGCAGAGGTCAGTGTCTCTGAAGAATATCACATGTCAGAGACGTGGACTGGACTCAAGCTCATACAAGCTGCTGCTGTCCTCCTCTGACCTCCTGTTTGGGTTCTTTACCGAGTTCAAGTTTCCGCACATGTCTGCCGTGGAGTGCAGCCGCCCTGCTAGCAAGCCAGTGGGGCACAAGGCTCTGCACTCCTAATCCTCCCCACACGTGTGAAGGTTCACATTGAGAATGATTCTCTAAAACAGTGGTTCTCAACCTTCCTAATGCCAAGACCCTTTAATACAGTTCCTCAAGTTGTGGTGACCCCAAACCATAAAACTATTTTTGTTGCTACTTCATAACTGTAATTTTGCTACTGTTATGAATCACAATGTAAATATTTGTGTTTTCTGATGGTCTTGGGCAATCCCTGTGAAAGGGGTTGTGACCCACAGGTTGAGAACCGCTGTCAGGGGTCGCCTAAGACCATCGGAAAACACAGATATTTACATTGCAATTCGTAACAGTAGCAAAATTACAATTATGAAGAAGCAACGAAAACAGTTTTATGGTTGGGGGTCACCACAACTTGAGGAACTGTATTAAAGGGTGGCAGCATTAGGAAGGCTGAGAACCACTGCTCAAAAAGAAGAGCACCATGACCACCCCAGTTGCCTAAATGTACACAACTCTTTGGTTTTGAGTTTTCTGTTTTTCTCATATCTGCTCAGATTAAAATGGCTAATAATCAGGGAGTCACAATACCCAGATGGAAAGTTTCAGTTATTTAGGGAAACACTAAATGACACTAGTAGTTCCAATAGAAGCAATCATCTTCTACATGAAAATACAGATACTTCTACCAGGTGCTTCAGGAGGAGAGGGAGAGAGAGGAAGGGAGGCAGAGTGAGTTGGTGGAAAAGGACAGGTGGTGAGTGAAGAGGTGAGAGACATGCCAGGATAAAAGGGTATGCTTGGAATACTGAGCTCCTGTTGAATGTGACCAGGAGAAATTCCACGGAAGCATTGATCTATGTCCTCTTCCCGAGGAACAGGGCCCTAGTCTCTCTCCTGCCAGTGCACCCATCCCTCCAGGCCATCTGGTCACCATCTGTCTCACATCTCGTTGTTAGTTCTGTGCATGTCAATTCACTCTCTTCTTATATACACTACTAGAGGCCCAGTACACAAAATTCGTGCAGGGGGTGGGGGGTGGCCCTTAGCACCCTCTCCAATCTGGGACCCCTTGAGAGATATTCGACTGCCAGTTTAAACCAGCAGTTAGGCATCCCTCTCACAACCCAGGACTGCTGGCTCCTAACCACTAGCCTGCCTGTCTGCCTAATTGCCCCTAACCAGCTCTCCTGCTGGCCTGGTCACCCACAATTGCTCTCCCCTGCTGGCTTTATTACCCACAACTTCCCTCCCCTGCTGGCCCGATTGCCCACAACTGCCCTACCCTGCCAGACTGATCACTTACAACCGCCCTCCCCTGCTGTGACGCACCTCCTCCTCCAGGACCAGCCTCCTCCACGCCTCGTGGAGCCGCAGGGCCCCCAGGCCTCACCATGTGGTGCGGCTGCCAGGTCCTGCCTCCACTGTGTGCATGGCCATCTTGTGGCAACATCACATGCAAGGGCCACCTAGGCTTTTATTAGTATAGATATGATAGTTCTCTTTCACTTATTAAATACTCTCAAACACAACTAAAATACAGAAAGCCAAACTATTTGCCAACAGATTAAGAATCCAGTCCCTGCACAGACAATATATTCCTAAAGCACGGTGTAGTCACACACACAGGCCTGGATGTGCTACGGGCCACCTATATAGTTGTGGGAGCAGGGCCATACCCAGCATGTCAATCCATCTTCTTTATCATGCTCATCTTTCTGATGACTGAGAGCCAAAGGGCTAGAGAAGGCACTCACATGGAAGAAACTTTATGTATAATTCTCGAGGCATCCAGCAGCTGATACCCTGGGCTGAGCCATGCAGGGGCTCCTTCCAAATGCTAAGGACAATAGAGCCCAGAAGGGGACTTTACACCTGCATCTGTCAATATTCCAAACTTGGGAGCAAAAGCTTTGGTGGCAATGAGATACGGAAATTAATGGTTATAAAGGGCATGGGTAGGTTTGTGTTTGAATTCCATGCTACCTGTGTGACCTTAGGGAAAGAGCTGTTTCCTTGTAAGACAAGATGATTTCCAGGTCCTGTCCACACTTAAATTTCAATGACACTTACTTAGCTAAATAACTGTTATTTATCCTCCTATTTAAAAGAAAATATAATTCTGTATACAAGAAAAAACACAAATTACTCAAAGGAAATATAATTTTATGAACTGGAAAAAAGAACTGAATGAATGAGTTACTGTAGTAATGGCACTCACCCCAGTATAGATTCTCATTCACATCCACATTCCCATGGTTACCTGGGTCAATGTAGTCGAATCCCTCACAGTTAATATAGTGATTATTTAACAGTTAAAAGGACTCATCTTTATTAGAAATTGAATCAAGATCACTTTTATATTGGTCAGTTAGGTTTACACAAATAAGCATTTGTTCCCTCTCCTCCCCTCAAATAAAAGTTGTTCTGTTCAAATTCAAAACAGTTGATAAAAACAAGGTAAGTGGAGGTTTTTTTTGTACCCGAAATGTTTTTGTCACCGGGTTTGAAGTAGCAAAACAAATGCCTGTAAGATTGTGATTACTAAGAGTGACTTATTTTGGGAAGTTTGGAAAGCTGAATATTTTAAAACATTTTTATTCTTTACTCTCCTCCTATATATTAAAGAGGAAATATGCAAATTGACCATCACTCTGCCACAAAGATGGCTGCTCCCACAGAGGAGGTGGGGTTTCCGTAACACAAGATGGCTGCACCCATAGCAGAGGCCGAGTTCCTGTAAGGAGTCTTAATGAGCAATCAGCAGAGACCTGAGGCTGTGCCCCCACTTTGGCACCAGGCCAAGGGACCTCAGGCCATGCCCCTCACCTGGCATGGGAGACCTCAAGCTGCACCCCCTGCCCCAGCACCAGACCAGGAGGCCTGAGGCCGCAACCCCCACCCTTCGCCAGGCTGGGGAACATCATGCCATGCCCCCCGCCTAGCGCAGCTTGATGGTGGACCTCAGGCTGCACAGCCACCCCAGTGGCAGGCCTGGAGACCTCAAACTGCACCCCCCTGACCAGCAGGGCTTGACGAGGGACCTCAGGCTGCCACCCCTTCTCCCCCCTGCCGAGGCCACACCTCCCGCCCCAGTGCCAGGCTGGGGGACCTGAGGCTGCGTCCCCCTCCTGATGGGGCTTGATGGGGGACTTCAGGCCACATCCCCTGCCCAACAGGGGATCTCAGGCCACGTCCCTCACCTGGTGGGGCGTGACAGGGTAGGACTGGCTGGGTCTGGATCTAGCCCAATAGGGTAGAGGCTGGCTAGGTCTAGGTCTTGTGCAATTTTGAGGTGCATGTGGGTGTTCGGGGACTTGACTCTGGGTCCCATGGTGTGTCCCAGACTCTGACAGGAAGAAGAATTTCATATACATTTTACTAATTTCCTTTCATCTCTGACACTTCTCTTATAGAGAAAGGGCAAATAGCAATATTAAAATATTTCCTCTAATTAATCCCCTTGTAATGTGCACAAATTTAGTGCACCGGGCAACTAGTGTGTATAATGAAATACTCAGATGGAAAAATGGTTGTTGTTCCATGTGTGAGGGCTCAGTCACCTGAGCATTTTCTAGGCCTGATAGAGCCCCCAGAGCAGAGGTACCTTCACGTGGCTGTCAGGTAACGAGGTGGGTACACTGGGATCCTCTGAGGATCAACACAAGCAAACACAGAGCTGGACGTAGAGCAATAGGATTAGGGACCAAGGAGCCCACTTAAGTATAGAGCATGGAGTATTCACTCCACCCTTCTACAGAGCTCTAGATATCTGAAGTAGCAGTTATTCTAGTTACCCTAGGAACTAAGTAAAATAAGAGTTATATTTCCATTTTTCAGATGAGGAAACTTTCTCCACATGGGAGGCAGCAGAACCAAAGCTATAACCCAGGTCCAATCCCTGCACTGCCTTTGCATTATTCAGTATTGAAGTGATGATGTTGGCATGTCCTGAAACACCTTTCTTTCTAGTTTTCTTGCCACACAGTAAGATGGCCTTGAAGCCAGGCCACAACCCCTACTTGCAGTTCCTCTTGCAGTTCCTCTCTGACCATCGTGGGTACGGTGGAGAAGCCAGGGCAATTTTAGGAGCGTATGTAAGTACTGTACCTAGGCAGAGAGCTGTACTGGCGCTGGGCCTGCTGGAAGCTCTCACGTTCCTCCTGCCGCTGGCGCTGCATCTGCACCTCCACGGACACCGAGTGCCTGCCGCTCTGCGCTGGAGGGCGGGAGCTGGGCTGCAGGAAGAAAATGCAAAATAATTCACGATAAGGGAATCACATCGTTTCTTGTAGACTGACTTAGAAACATTTGGAAAATTCTGTGAAATTAAAATAAAATTTAATTTCAAGTTTGAGAAGAGAGGCATTTATCTAATTGCTCTTAAGAGTCCCAAATATTGAATCATCTTAAATTTTAATTATGGCTTTAGAATGGTTAGAAATTGAGAGTCCAACCTTCCTAAGTCTTCCTAATGAGGTTTGGCAAATTCAATGTCAAGTAAATAAGTAAAATTGAAGGTTAGCTATGCTGGCAAAAGTTTTCGATAGTTATGTATTTTAGTTTAACAGTAGGACACAACAGCTGATCCCCCTTTTCCTAAACAATGACAGTTAAGCACTGGTTAATGTTTCTCAGTGATTAGAGTGCCGACCCAGTGGACTAAAGGGTTGTAGGTTCTATTGTGGTCAAGAGCACACACTTGGGTTGCAGGCTTGATTCCCAGCCCCCATTTGGGAGGCAACTATTAGAAGTTTCTCTCTGTGTGTTTCTTTCTGCCTCTCTTCCACTCTCTCTCAAAAGAAAGAAAGAAAGAGAGAGGAAGGAAGGAAGGAAGGAAGGAAGGAAGGAAGGAAGAAGAAAGAAGGAAGGAAGAAAGGAAGGAAAAATATCCTCGGGTGAGGATTAATTAACAAGCAAACAACAACAAAAAACTAAGGGGGAAAAAGAATAACAGTTAAATTTGAATCAAGTTTAGGTGAAACTACCTGCTGTTAGCCATATGCAAGTGTCCTCTAGTCCAGGAATGGTAGCTGAATGGGGAATAGAAATGCTTATCAAATTAAAAAACCTGAAAGCTAATTGCTACTTGAATTAATTATGAGACCAGACATTTTGCCTTAGTGATAAGGAAATGGCATTTTTACCTAGGTTAATCATATCCTATGAGAAATGTCAATCCTGTCTGCTGAACACTTTGGTCAGCAGTCATCTGCTGATTGTGCCTCTCGCTCAAATCAGATACTGAATGTACACACTGCGTTGGATAGATCTAGCCTTGTGGATGCTCTGGCTTCTCACTGGCAGGTCTTAGCTTACTTTCTAGATTTGGCTTTTTGAAATAAAAAATAGACAACGATGCCTCTAATGCTACAAACACCCCACGATGGTTTATCATAGCATCAGTGGCTCACATTCTTAAATAATCCTTTTGGCGCATGCTAACTTCTGTTCCCCTTGGTGCTATGCAATGGGCAAATTCTGAATGTCTGTTAAAAACAAGTTATCAATTTTCTTTTAGAGTTGAAAGCCAATGGCAGACTTTGACCTCATAATAATTTTCTAGAATAATAGAGTTATAGCATTCATTTGGAGAGCTATAAGAAATCATGTAACTTAAATAATGCTTTGTGTGAACAGAAAGCAAGCATCATCTATCATTCACTCTGCCTGGCCAGCATTATCTTATTTATTGGTAAGCAACAATATGGCAATACACAGGATAAAAATTTCAAAGCATATGGGCATAGCCAGTGAACATATTAAAAATACCCTGATACAAAAATAATGTGTGAAGATTACCCCAATTTCTACAAGTGGGTATTTACAGCCATACTCTTAGGAACAAATGTGTGTCCACAGACCCTCTCCACAACATGGGATTCAATGAATCAATGGTGCCTTTAGCAAGAAAAACATTTCACTGAGTGAGTTCTGTTTATGCAAACAAAGCATCAAACAATCTTCTTCAACTACATTGAAGAAGACAAACATTTTCTTCCATTGCACTTGAAGAGGCTGGCTAAATAGAAAATCAAGCTGTTCTAGTGTTTACAGGGAATCCTGAGAGAAGCTACTGGACGAGGGAAAGTAAAGCAAGGAAATACTACACAATATGCCTTCAAAAACATATTTCCCTTTTCTTTTCACTTGGAATAAGTCATATACACGTATCAAGCAGCCTTAAAGGATCTGGCATTCTGCAGCAAGATTTAGATTTAGTAACCAGTTTCATAAGCTCATGCTGTTTGTGACACATGGCTGTGGAGATGTGAAAAGAAAATGCAAGGTCTTATAGAAATTTCAGGTGTATTTTTTTTAAATACTCACTGAGGATTTTTTTTTACATTTATTTTCAGTGAGAGTAGAAGGAAGGGAGGGAGGGAAGGAGGGAGGGAGGGAGGGAGGGAGGGAGGGAGGGAGGGAGAGAGAGAGAGAGAGAGAGAGAGAGAGAGAGAGAGAGAGAGAGAGAGAGAGAGAGAGAGAGAGAGAGATCCAAGTGAGAGACATATTAATTGGTTGACTCCTGAATGCCCCCAACAAGGGCTGGGGATCAAATCTGCAACCAAGGTACATAACTTTGACCGGGAATTGAACCTACTACCCTTAATCTGTGGGTCAATGCTCTAAACATCGAGCCAAACAGGTCAGGGAATCAGGTGTACTTTTAAGTTGTTTCTACCAGACCTGGAAATTTGATTCTAATATAGAAAAGAAAAAAAAAAGTTGAAGGGCTTTTGTTTCCTTAACTGTGTGTTTTCTGATACTGTTCATCTCAAACTTTATTAAGCAGCAAGCATCTAGTTGCAGCTTGATGAACTTCAAAATGAAATTATTATGAGATGAAATCTGAAAACTTAAAAAAAAAATGAATGAATGAGTTTGGTATCAGCATATTGACATATTGTATTTCATGCTATTGTGCTCACTATGATGAAATATGAATCTCAGGCTTACCATTAATGTTTTACTCAATTTCTCTTTTCAGAGCATACAAAAGGGTAGGTTATTAAAAAGAATCACTTTTATCTTTAAGATGAAATTTTATTGGGCCAGAGATTTCCAGGAAGATTGGATATATGACCAGCTTAAAGCAACAACTTACTAAGTCCATTTGGGAAGCTTTATATTTGGCCTGAATAGAAAATAACCTCATTCATTATTTCAATAAAGTTCTTATAAAAATGTAAATTGTGGGAACAGAACTATAACCTACAATCCTGATTTTTCAATACTGTAGTTTTCCATGTGTAAGGCAGAAACAGAATAATGTATTGAGAGTACCAAATTACAAAAACATAGACAAACATGAAGAGATATTTTGTAACCCCAGAGAGAAGTGTCTGTGTTCAAAGAAAACAGCATCAAAAGCTTTAACAAAAAGTGACATCTATACAGGGAAACATACAGGTAAAGCATACTTGGAAAACTTCTGGAGATTCATCAGATAACAAGGCAATAACTCTATTTCAAAAGAGCAAATTACAAATAATCCTGGTCTTCTTGTTGATGATATTGATGACAAGGTTGCCAAGACAATATGATAGAGGTTGCAATATAATAGAGATAAAATTAAAAAAAACAACCCTGCTTACAGTTGATAAGACTAAAAAAAGAACAAAAATACAGTGCAAAGTTTCAGTATTAATGAAAACTAGATAATAAGATTTTTAAAGGTTAATATAAAAGTATACATGTCCCTTATGAAATAAAATCCATTACTGTTTTATTAACATTTACATAAAACATTCAATAATTTTAAAATACTCTGAATAAGAAACTTTTTTCAAATTTCCACATATATGCAATGGCAAGTATAGAAAACAAAAATAGAATACACAGATGTGTGTGCTTTGCATCAACACCTATTGTGAAGGTGATGATGAGAATGATGAGACTGGCAATAGCAGAAAGAATATTGATATCCCCTTGAGATTTATAATCTTTATTTTAGCAATTCAACTGTGCTATAACCCCAATACGCTGATATAATAATTATAATTTAAAGATTTGGTAGAGGGAAAAGTAATTTTTATGGCACTGAATCATATAAATAGGATAAATAGTTTACTCTGTTTATAAGTGGCCATTGGTATTATAGGTCATTATTTCCTAGTAGAGGCCCGGTGCATAAAATTCGTGCATGGAGGGGGTGGTGTCCCTCTGCCCAGCCTGCACCCTCTCCAATCTGGGACCCCTCGAGGGTGTCTAACTGCATGTTTGGGCCGGATCCTACAGGATTGGGCCTAAACAAGGAGTCAGACATCCCTCTCACAATCTAGGACTGCTAGCTCCCAACTGCTCACCTGCTTGCCTGCCTGATTGCCCCTAACTGCTTCTGCCTGCCAGCCTGATCACCCTCTAACCTAGGGGTGTCGAACTCAATCAGAGAAGGGGCCAAAATCTAAAATCCAGCCTAAATCGCAGGCCGAATGGTTTACTGAACAGTCATAAACTGTCATTGTGATGGAAACGCAGCGGAGTGCAGTGATGACAGCGCGGTGCGGGCCACATTGCAAGGCCTAGCGGGACGGATTTGGCCCGCGGGCCTTGTGTTTGACACATGTGCTCTAACCACTCCCCTGCCAGTCGGATTGATGCCTAATTGCCCCTGAGCCAGCCCAATTGCCCCTAAATGCCCTCTCCTGCTAGCTTGGTCACCCCTAAGTGCCCTTCCCTGCAGATCTGGTTGCCCCCAACTGCCTACCTCTGCAGGCCTAGTCCCCCCCAACTGCCCTCCCCTGCTGACCCGGTCACCCCTAACTGCCCTCCCCTGCCATCCCTAATTGCTCTTCCCTGCCAGTCTGGTCCCCTCCCAACTTCCCTCCTTGTAGGCCAAGTCCCCCCCAAATGCCCTCCCCTGCAGATCTGGTCACCTGTTACTGCCCTGTCCTGCAGGCCTGCCCGCCCCCCCAACTGCCCTTTCTTGCAATCTTGGGTCCCCCCGCCCAACTGTCCTTCCATGCAGGCTTGATTGCCCCCAACTGCTCTCCCTTGCAGGCCTGGTCCCTCTCAACTGCCCTCCCCTGCTGGCCACCTTGTGTCCACATGAAGGGCAGCAATCTTTGACCACATGGGGGCTGCCATTTGTGTGTTGGAGTGATGGTCAATTTGCATATTACTCTTTTGTTAGATAGGATAGAGGCCTGGTGCACAGGTTGGGGCAGGCTCGTTTGCCCTGAAGGGTGTCCTGGATCAGGGTGGGGGTTCCCTTGGGGAATGGGGAAGCCTGAACGAG